TTGCAAGCATGTTTAAATGCATATGTTAGGTAAAGGATTTGAATTTTCTCTGGTTTCACGAAGAAAGGATTTTCTTTGGGGTTGAGTAAATTTCTCTGGGGTGGACTAAATTTCTCTGGTTTGTATAAATGATTATTGTGTAAATAGAAGGGGGAATTTCTCTGGAGAGAGGGAAGGCCTTAATTTCTCTGGAGAGTGGAAAGGTTAGGGGAGAGTTAGAGAAATTTTCAAAATTTCTCTAAAAAATCCAGAGAAATGCTAACCAGAGAATTTCTCTGGACCAACCCAGAGAAAATTCAGTCCAAACTAGAGAATTGAAAATGTCAATCATGGAAGTCCCAATAGACTTGAAAATGTCAGCAATTGCCATGAAGATTAGTGTGGGGCTTTACAAGTGGAAAAGGTAGACATAAATGGCAATATATCAGACAACTCCATTGTGGAATCTATATCAGGTGTGGATATATCCCCAGATGATGTTGTAGGAGTCATAGGTCAGAAATAATTCTGGAAAGCAAGAAGAGCTATTGCCCAGTAAGTATCTCTGATTGATCATTACTATGTTCATTTGCTATGGATTAACTATATTGAAATGAAGGAATCATGCATACTATGTGAAACACAGTGCATTTTTATACCTAAATTTAAATTTAAAGGTTTATAATTGTGCACATGTGCATATCGAGGTGTAGTTTTTTTTACACAATTTTCTCTGAAGCAAAGCACTAATCCTCATTGTTGTCCAGAGAAATTTGGCATTTTCTCTGTGAAATTTCTTTGAGAAATTCTCTGGGAGGTCCAGAGAAATAGAGAAACCTCCCAGAGAAATTCTATTTCTCTGGAGAGAAATTCTTTCAGAGGTCCAAAGAAATTCTGGGGAGAAATTTCTCTGGATGAAAATTTTTTGGATGGGAATTTCTCTGGAGAGAAATTTCTCTGGGAAGTCCAGAGAAATTCTCTGGATGAAATTTCTCTGGATCAAATTGAGGGACCTTAGACATTATGAAAATATTTGATGTCCTTTATGCTATAAAATCTTAATATCAGGGACCTTAAAAAAAATCCCCTTGTTTGTTTTAGGGTAAATTACAAATATACTTTTGAGGTTTGCTTAAAGCACAAATTGGTTTATGTGATTTAAAAAATTACAAATACTCTCTTGTCAAAAAAATTTATTTAACAGAATTAATTAAAAAAATAAAATTCATAATTGTTTTCCTATATAATAATAAAGTTACTTAAATTATTAATTGAAATATATTTCTAATATCATTATAAATTGTTAATTGACTTGATAATTTATTAACAATAGGGATGATTTGTTATGAAATTAAAATTCTCAAAAAAATAAGAGGTCTGAAATAATTGATGGAATGCTAATAGTAACCCTCTTAATTAATTGTAAGAGCACGTGGAGGGTTTTGCCTTCACAAGAATTTAAAAGATTTTTTAATGATGATGATGTGGAGAGAGCAAAGTTAAGAGCGTCTTCAATTTTTCATTGGGACTCCCTTTTTACCCTTTCTATGTAATTTACCCTTTTTCAATTTTTCTATGTAATTTACCCTTTTTATTATGTTATTTTAAATTTAAGGACTAAGATTCTTTCCAGTCTACATAGTGGATTGGACCATGTTATTTGGGTTCATGGAGTCCACCATAGATCTTATTTTGATAATTCGAATCGTTAAATGTGCAAAACTTGTTAAATATTTCATTCTTGTAAAAAATCGCATTGATCGGATATCAATAGTTACTTGATCGGATCAGAATTCTGTCAACAATTTATTTTGAAAATCATATTACAATTGACAGAAAAATGATTTGATTAAGTGGCTATCAATATCCGATTAACGTGATTTTTTTTACAGAGATAAAATACACGATGAGTTTTACACATTGAACGATTCAGATCATCGAAATATGACCCTTGATGGGCCTCCATGGGTCCAACAACATGCTCCAGTCCAATCTCGAACTAAAGAGAAGTCTGACCCGAAATTTAAATAAGGGTCTTACTAACAAGTGCCTCTAGAACATAAATAACAGACAAAATATTTACAAAAATTTCTCGTCTATAATTTAAAATAACAAATTGCACATATTTTAAAAAATATCTTGTCTGTAATTGTAAAAAGACTAACTTTAATATATAAAAAAAAATTCCACCAATTTAAAATGGTTGAAGTTTATTAGTCTTCAATTAATTTTCTCCATAAACTTTGTTTTAAATGTGCAAGCTCTAATATTCTATAAATTTTCATTTCTCGTCTATAATCACCGGATAACTTATAACAATTTTCATTTCTTTTCTTTTTATAATCCTCACAAAATTAAAAAAAAAAAATTCAAAATTAGTAATATTATATAAATTTATATTTAAATTTTTTTTGTGAAATTACTTACGCCTTTTGTGAAAATATATTATTTTAGTAATTTTACCTGTAAGGTGTGCAAGAGCATTCACAGTGGGATGGCTAAAAAAGTGTGTTAAAGTATGTTATATGACAAAAAGTGATAAAAGTGGGGTCCAAAAATGTGTGTTAAGATGTGTTAAGAGTTTGTTAATTTTAGAGAGTGAGGGGTGATGCAATGAATGTATTAAGGGGTGTGTTAAGAATATATATATGTGTATATATAATAATTAAAATAAATAAATAATTTAATTTAATAAAAAATTTCAAGCCCAAAATTAAATTTCAAGTCCAAAAAAAATCCCAACAAGTAAAAAAATAAAAAAAAATAAAAAAATAAAAAATTAGTTGACCGGCCAGACGTCCGGCCGGTCAATCGGTCAGACCAATTTTTTTTTTCTCTTTTCTCTTTTCCGAACGTCTGGGGTGGACTTCCGACGGGACGTTCAGGGGGACTTCTGATGGGACGTTCGGGCGGACTTCTCCAAGGCACACATCTCTCTCTCTCATTCGTTGGCTAAATCGCTCGCTGCAGTTAACACACACATTAACATTTGACACTAACACATAGCACTAACACACGTTAACAGCTCCATTACAACCCCAAACAACACTCTGAGCTAGCCAAAACTTGGCATCTGACACTAACACACAGCTTAGTGTGTCGATTGTGGATGCTCTAAGTTTAAACAAAATTTGGTATAACTAATAACACAAATTTATGTAAGTCAAAACATAGAAAGTGTAATATGCAAGGCACACATAAAAAAGATTCATTTATACATATTTATAATATTTGGCTTTAGGTCCCGTCAAGTACTAGGCCAACCGTGAAAAAAACATCTTCTTTTATATATATTTATAATATTATTTTGTACTTTTTATATTAATAGAAATTAATATTATAATCTATACTTTATTTTTAATTTTTTTTTTAATGTACACACTCACCACTCGATGATGTTGGTGGGTCTTTTCTTCTGGATGCGTGTATGATTAATTGATTGTAAGAATACAGGGAGGGTTTTGCCTGAGTAGTTACTGGGTGCGCTTGGACTTGTTTGTTGATGTTGTGATCGGTAAAAAAGTTAAGATCAATAATTTTTTGTTGGATGAATGAGAAATATGAGGGGATATAGTGTGTGATGATTGGTGAAATAAGAACATGTGATGCTCCAAGAGCACCTAATAATTTTTCATATTGCCTTCACAAGAATCTGAAAGGTTTTTTAAATGATGATGATATGGAGATAGCTAAGTTAAGAGCATTTTCAATTTTTCACTAATGTTAAGAAAATTATTAGGTATTTTTGGAGTACCATGTGTTCATTTAATCAATCATCATGTCCCCTCATGTTCTTCAATCACCTAATACAAAATCCTATTTTTTCCACCAATCATAATATCATAGACACCACGTGGCCGTGTTCCTGGAGTACTCAATAATCACCTTTAGTGTTATTTTAAATTTAAATAAGGGTTTTGCTCACAAGTGCTCCTGAGGCATAATTAAAAAACGGTGGTGTTACATGCACCAACTATTGTACTAATTAGGGTACCAACTAGTATTATGACATTATTATTCACCCCACCTATTATATAAATTACAAATATCCAAAATCTTTAAAATTGTGCCACATCATCTGTTAGTATATTAGTTAATACACTAAATGGTGCATATAGTATTATTCATTAAAAAAACAAAATATTAGCAAAACACAATGTACATTTTACTAACTTCAACGCATTTTTATTGAAATCAATATACTTTTTTAATATTTTTACATGTCTTCAAGACACTTTTTACACATTTTCCGATATTAAAAAATGCCTATGGACCACTTATTAGAGCATCTCCAACATTTACTATTTTTTGTCATCAAATTTGAGTAAAAGTTTTATCTGACATCAAGCATTCCAATGGAAAATTTTCATTTTTCATTAAACCACCGGTCAACCAGGAGGACGATTAAGTGGATGTCTGGCCAGTTGATCGGTTAGTGTAAATTTACTGGAAGTGTAAGCAAGGAAGAGGTTGTCCGGGAGGACAATCGGATGGTCGTTCGGTGTATGATTCAACATCTATCTATAGTAATTTGATAAAAGGCTCAAGGTATCCTCAATTTTTAATTTGATGTTGGTTTGATGCTAATGTTGGAGCATCAAAACTGAACTTCTTTTATCAAATTTTAATTTGATGAAAGAAAAGATGAAGTGCTGGAGATGCTTTTAGCATTTGCCTTTAAAAAAAATGTTTGGTTTTATATGAATTATTTTAATTATTTTATTAAATTTTTATCAATTTTTTTAAAATAAAAAATCATCTCTTATTTAAAATTTTATTTTTATCAAATTTGATGAAAAAAATATTATTTAATTCTAATTTTTTAAAAGTTTTATCATATTTAAATTTGACGAATAATTTTTTATAAAATTTTAATTTGATGAAAAAATAACTCTTTTTTAATTTGATGAATATTTGACTTAAATTTTTTAACACTTTTTCATCAAAATTAAAAGTTGACAGATTGGAAATGCTCTATTGAAAATGAGTGAAGAGGGAAGAGTAGTGATGATAAACAAGTTATGGGAAGGGATGGTGATGTGTCAACAGTGATAGACATGTTACTTAGCTCTGACAACACTCTAGACGATTTACCTGTCATTGCCATTGTAGGAATGGGTGGGATGGGCAAGACAACCCTTGCTCAGTTAGTTTACAACAATGAGAAGGTGGTGAAGCATTTTGGTGATCAAAGGATGTGGATTTGTGTGTCTGATGATTTCATAGTTCCAAAGCTATTGAGTCAGATGGTACAATCTCTTACTGGAGATAAGTCGGACATAGATAATATTGAAGGAATAGTGAGAAAGCTTGCAGAAAAACTAAATGGCAAAAAGTATTTGCTTGTACTAGACGATGTTTGGAATGAAAATCCAGACAAATGGGAGTGCATGAGAAATTCTTTGCTAAGGATAGGTGGATCCAAGGGAAGCAAAATTATAGCTATAACTAGGAGTATGCACGTGGTATCTACCATGAGGACATCTCCATCTTTCACTCATCATTTGAACCAACTATCAGAAAATGAAAGTTGGACCATGTTTCAAAAAAGAGCATTTGCAAATGGAGGACCAACAGAGACCCCAAATTTGGTGGCTATTGGTAGAAAAATGGTGGAAAAGTATAAGGGTGTACCGTTGGCAATAAAATCACTAGGAGGTTTAATGTACTCTAAGTAGCACATTCATGAATGGGTGTCGATCGAAAATAGTGAAATATGGAGCTCAACTGAAATCAAAAGAGGAATTCAACCGATATTAAGGTTAAGTTTTGATCACTTACCATCCCCGTATTTGAAACACTGTTTTGCTTATTGTTCTATTTTTCCAAAAGATTTCAACATTCAAAAGGATGAGCTGATTCAGCTTTGGATGGCTCAAGGATATCTCCAGCCTTCTTCAGGAAGCAATTTGGAAATGGAAGATGTTGGTAACGATTATTTTAATATTTTGTTGCACAATTCTTTATTTCAAGATGTAAAATTAGATGACTACAATAACATTACCAGTTGCAAAATGCATGATCTTGTGCATGATCTGGCACTAGATGTCTCAGAGGGTACCTGTTTGGGTTTGACTTCGATTGCTAGTGAGGCGAATCATCATTCTGAGTTTCACAAAATTCCAAAAGAAAATGTTGGAAAACTGAGGACACTACTTTTAACTGGAAATCTTCCTAAAAACATTGCAGATGTCAAGTTTATACGTGCCTTGAGTTTCGAACAATACTATGTGAAAGAGTTGCCAGATTCCATATGTAAGTTCATAGATTTAAAATATCTAGATCTCTTAGGGGCGTATTTAGAACACTGCCAAAAATTTTTACCATGCTCTATAATTTGCAAACACTGAGACTTCAATGTTTTACCCAGTTGGAAAAGCTTCCAAAAAAGTTCTATGAGTTGTTGTAGACCGCCCGAACTCCGCTCCGCGCGTAAGGGCGCGAATTGTAGTTCTAGCTACTATAGTTCGGACTCCTGTCACGGTTCTGAATCTAATCTCACAAAGTGTAATGTAAAACTGATAAATCACCAAAGAGTCCAAATCCGGCAAATCGTTTTGGAAAATCGATTTTAATCAAAAGCGCCAAACATGGACTGCTTTGCCAGATTTCAGAGTTGCCACCTAAATATTTTATTTTGGAAAATTTAAAAAACCCTGACTCGTGCCTAAGGCCACGTGTCCGTCATCACCAAAGTTGCCTCGGCTCGGGAACTTGGGTACGAGGGGGGAAGGTCATGAAATGAGAACCCCCGCTCGCCCGATCAAAGGATCAGCCTCTACTAATCATGATATGTTGTTTTGAAAACACATGTGTTCTTATTCCGATTATTAGCTAGCTTACTACGTGATGCGCATAGTATACAAGTATAGACTAAATCACTCAATTTTGGAACAAAACATCTCATGTTTGTCTTTCGAAAATGGTTTGGAAGTTGCTACCCTCAAGTAGGCTAAAATGCGGATTTGCCACCCTCAAGTGGGCTTAGAAAACAATATGATTTTGCCACTCTGCAAAGTGGGCTTAAAACGTACATTTTGATGAATTGTTCCAATTCAAGTAATAAAGCCTTCATCCACAGGCATTCAAGCAGTTATAGCAGTTAAGCATTTAGCCTCCTGACAAGCATGCTAAACATGGCAACACTTACAGGCATGCAAGGATGCTAAAGCACAAACACTCACAGTATACTCCGAGCCAAAACAAAAGCTATGTTAGAAATCATGCATGATCCTAGCTTATGTTAAGATGCCTAATGCAACACATGCAAAAATGCAACTGAGATAGGCTCGACTACCTAGAATGGCATATGAATGCAACTTGATAACATGTATTCAAATTGGTATTAAAATACAATACAGTTTGTATGATGCGCCGAGCCCGGTGCATACAAGACAAAATGAATGAATGAACGCATGTAAGCATAAGGTATGCTAATCAAAATATGCCCTAAAACTAACCATTGAAAACTGATAAGTAAAAGGGAGCAAGAAATGGGGTTGGGAGATATGCATCACACACACGCACACTTATTACAAAATTTGCTCTCTCGACGGAGGGTCCGAATGAAAGCTAAGCTACTCTAAGCTAAGCTAAATAACTAATCTAATAATCTAATTAGACTAATTATCACACAACCGAATTGAAAACTAGCTATGCTAAGCTAATTAAGAAATTATAATAATGAATTAAATTAGCTAACACATTAACTAATTAATTACAAAATAACCAAGCTAATGAACTAGTTTAGCTAAGCAATTTAAACAAATGGCCTCGGGAAGCGAGGGGGATATGCATGCTCGATCGGCTTCGCTCGGAAATCCACTACCGTGCCTCATGATGCCTCTGTTTGCACTCTTTTAGACTTCTGAAAATTGTGCCAACTTCCAAGATGCTTCTGATCCACCCTAGAAACATGTTGATGGGTGGTCGGCCAAGAGGGATAGCCATCGGCCAAAGTTAATGGTCATCGGCCACTTTTGATAGCCGATCGGCAGACTTGGGGGCCGATCGGCAGCTTTGATGGCCGGTCGGCCACTGCTTCTTGCAATTTCTCCTTTTGCTGCAACAGAGCACAAACAGAGGCATGGTAGTGTATTTGCAAGGTATGTGTGCACAACCACCCTCCCTATCATTTCTCAAGCCCAAGGGAGTGCGGTACTCGACTCTTGAGCCACCGACCAAGCATCGCAACGCACGATGGCCGAGAAGCCAAGTTTGCACAATTTCAATGTCAATGAATGCACAAATAACACATAAGGGCCTCCACCTCTATCATGCATGATCAAGAGGGTCGACGACCGAGAAATGAGGCACGTTTCATCACTTCAAGTATGAAACGTCTCTCGTTTCTCGTGTTTGGATTAACGTTCAATCCAAACACAACGCAATGTAACAACATTCCAAACAGCATGCAAACAACATAAGCATGTCAAGTTAGAGTCCTTAAGCATGAAAGCTAGTGAAGGATACAACACAAGGGCTATGTAATGCAATGCCCAATGGACCAAACTAGCTCCAAATAGACCTCATGCATGCCAAAACAAAGGCCTAAGCATGTTGGAAACGAAGCTCAATGGACTAAATAAACATGCATACATGTTAGGCCACAAACAAGGCACAATGCTCAACTCTCAAACACAATTAAAGAGTGAAAAACATGGAAGTATGACAACACTATATGCTCTGAAATATCATTCCAAATGATGCCAAAACATGCACATATGACAAATGAGGCATGCTAGGAGGCTCCAAGCTTATGGCTAGCAACGGTACTTGCACCATAGCCATATCAAGCAAGCCCCAAAGGGCCAAGATCACTCAAAACAGTCCCAATGCAGGTCAAAACAATGCCAAAACATGCATGGAATGAAGCCGAAACAAGCTAGCATGGTAAGCCAAAACACCAAGCATGTGAGGCCAATGAGCATGATTATATTACAAGTGTAACAAGCAAATGAGGGATGCTCTAACCAACCAAAAACAGAGTTGTATCATGGCAAAATAAGACCCAAAACACATTGAGATGGCAGCCCAAAAGCTTAGGCAAGATGGCATACATATTGGCTCATGTTTAAGGCATAAAGCACAACCCTCCAAAAGCATTGAAAGAGTGAAGCATGGGAGAGTATGACCACACTAGATGCACTGAAATCATGTATCAAATGATGCTAAATCATGCAAATAGCCCAAGCAATGTATGCTAGTGGCTTGGAAACTCAAAGCTAGTGAGCAAAATTGAACTATGGCTATACAAAGCAAGGCATGCACGACCAAAACAACTTAAAACATAGCTTAAGCATGGCAAAACATGAGTAAAAGTTTGCTGGAGTGGAGCCAAAAACATGCTAGAATGATGGTCCAAAGCATGATGCATGTTAGGTTAGTGAGTGGAATTGCACTACAAGTACAAGAGGCATGCAAGAAGTAACCAAACCAACCTAAAACAGTGTTATGCCATGCTAAAATAAGGCCTAAGACATACTAAGATGGAACCTCAAGGAGGTAGAAAAACATGCAAACTTGGTGAGCCATTAACACAAGCACACAAGAGAAGAGGAGGGGGGACAACCCCCACCTATTTGGGGGCTCAAAACACACTTTCTACCACTGAAAACCCACTGAATTTCAGTGGCTAAAAGGCCAAGAGAAGATGATCTCGAAGGCCTAAAGAGATGGCTCAAAACAAGGCAAAATAAGGCACAAAAGGGGGTAGACCACCCCCAACACCAAAAAGGCCTAAACAAACACTTTAAGAACTTGAAAATGAAGCTCTTTGTAGTTGAAAGTTAAGCCAAAAGAAGCATGCAAAGATGGCTAAGTACTTAAGCAAAACAAAGCTTAAAAGAAGATATGGGACTCACCCTTGAAGAACAGCAAAACCAGCAGCTTTTCTGAGCCAAAACCAACCTTAGGATGCTAAAACAAGTCCTATGGAATCTCAACTCCAAGGTCAAGAGGTTTAGGTTGTAGGCAAAATGTGTGAAGAACACTCACTTTCAAGCAATATATAGAGAGAGAGATATATTTGATCTAATGCAAATTTTCAGAACCTCTTGAAAGGGAGAAGGACCTCCCCTCTTATAGAAATCCAAGTCTCAAGCTTGTTGAACAAGCTAGAGGCTTGGTTCAATCCCTCCATACAAGTGTATGGAGGATGCAATCTATGCTCACCAGCTGTCACAGCAGGCAAAGAAATATCTGAAAAAGCAAAGAAAAGGGCCTCGGCCAAAAGGTATGGCTGACCGGCCATTAAAGGTGCTGACCAGCCATCAGAGGTGCCGACCGGCCACCACTTATGGCCGATGGAAAGAGGGCATGGCCGATGGGCACAGGGCCTGGCCGATGGGTTGTCAGGCTGGCCAACAGGCCACCCCCTTCCCTTAGAAACAAAACCACAAGCTCTTGGTCCACAACCAAGCACAAAAATGATAAGTTAAAAGGCTCCAAGGCAAGACGCACAACCGAGACCTTCAGAAACTCAAAATGAACATGAGCACGGATGATCATCGAGTGTTCAAATGATGACGTCCAAGTCTTGAGGACGGTCAAAAACGAGGTGTCTACAGTTGCCCCCCTTTGACAGAACTCGGAAGTCAAGAAATGACGGGAGTGAATGTCAAAGCCCAGAGACAACCCATTTTTGACAAGGCCGAAGACTTAGACAAACATACAAGATAAGAATATGGATGCGCCCGTAGGTTGGGGCAAAATGCAAATGATATGCACAATGCAGAACATAACTTACGATTATGCAAAGAGGACTATAATGAAGCATTTATGCAAAATAAATACAACATTTTAAGCAAGCAAATAAGAAACAACAGTCTCACACATTCCAACAGAAAGGATGTAAGAAAATTATACAATTCTCACTGCGTCTCACGTGGAGAAGACTAAAATCGACTACCGAGAATACCCGGAGTCTCAAACACAACATCTCTCAGCGTATCACACGCAGGGGAGGAAAAAGCAACATCTCTCAGCGTATCACATGCAGGAGAGGAAAAAGCAACATCTTTTAGCGTATCACACGCAGGAGAGGAAAAAGGAACATCTCTCAGCGTATCACACGTAGGAGAGAAAAAAGCAACATCTCTCAGCGTATCACACGCAGGAGAGGGAAAGGGACATCTCAGCGTATCACACGCGAGAGAGGGAAAGGGACACCTTTCAGCGTATCACACACGAAAGAGGGAAAGGTATACCTCCCAGCGTATCACACGTGAGAGAGGGAAAAAGCAACATCTCTCAGG